GGATTTAATCCATGGTAGGAAAGACAACACTAGATTCTAAACACTAAACTGGTGACATTTGGGGAAAAACAAGACTGGGCTATTAGCTGATTTTTTATTTACTCACCTCTTGACTGCCAGGACCTTTTATAAGTATAACTTTGTTTTTTAGTGTACTAGTGAAGTAAAGAACTGATTATGTTAGTTTACTTACTGGACCATTATCCCTATACCTCTCTGCTTCACCCACACTGGGGTCCTGTCTGATCCTAGAACATGCTAAGCACTCTCCCAGCTCAGGGCCTTTGCACTTGCTCTCCTATCTGCCTTTAAGAAACACTCTTATCCCAGGTATCTTCAGTGCTTGATCCCTCACTTCCTTCAGGTCACTGCTCAAAAGTCTTCTCATTAGAGAGGCCAATCCTGACCACCTTATATAAACGTCTCCCAGTTATTGTCAATCCCATTAAGCTGCTTTGCTTTCCTTCATACTACTTATCCCCATCTAATTTATTATGTATTTACTTCTTGATTGGTTTACTGTTTGTTTTCCCCAACTATACCATAAGCAGCACAAGGGCAGGGACTTTGTTCTAGTCACTAGTTAGTGACTCTCAATGCCAGGGTCAATGCTAGGTATATAGTGACACTCAAAATATACTTGTTGAATAAAGGAGTGGATATTTTTGTGGCTTGAGAAAGATATGGTTAATTCTTAATATTTGTGATCTTAAAAGATATTTTATAGCCAAGTGGAAACATTTGCAAACTTCAAATTTATAAAACTAAAGAGTAAAAGTTTAATTAAAGTGTTTCATCCCCTTATTTAAAAGGTTATCCACATAAAAATACCTATAACTTCAAGTATTTTGTTTCATTTCTAGAAATACTTGTCCGATTCAAGGTAAATCAAACAGAATGACTAAAAGTAATTGTCCTAGAAAAAGGGGGGACAGATAGGGAGAAAGGGGATTGATATACCATGACCTGGTAAATACACTATTGTGTTTTCTTTGTAACTTTTAGACACTTACCAGATATCGCCTTGATTAAAATTGTCTGTTCAGTGCAACATCACTAATCATCAGGGAAATGCAAATTAAAACCACGATGAGATATCACCTCATACCTATCAGAATGGCTATCATCAATAAATCAACAAACAAGTGTTAGCAAGGATATGGAGAAAAAGGAGCCCTTATGCACTGTTGGTGGGATTGTAAATTGGTGCAGCCACTATGGAAAACAGTATGGAAGTTCCTCAAAAAATTAAAAATAGGACTACCATATGACCCAGCAATTCCATGTCTGGACATTTATCCAAAGAAATCTAAAACACTATTTTGAAAAGACATATGCACCCTATGTTCAATACAGCATTATTCACAATAGTCAAGATATGGAAGTAACCTAAGTGCCCATCGATAGTCGAATGGATAAAGAAGTGGTACATATATACAATAGAATATTACTCGGCCACAAAAAAGAATGAAATCTTGCCATTTACAATAATATGGATGGAACTAGAGGGTATTATGATAAATGAAATAAGTCAAACAGAGAAAGACAAGATACCATATGATTTCACTTATATGTGGAATCTAAAAAACAAAATAAACAAACAAAACAGAAATAAACTCATAGATACAGAGAACAAACTGATGGTTGGTTGCCAGATGGCAGGGGATAGGCGGATGGGTGAAAAAAGGGGAATGGATTAAGATACATAAATTGCCAGTTATACAAATAGTCATGGGGATGTAAAGTACAGAATAGGGAATATAGTCAATAATACTATAGTAACTATGTATGGTATTAAATGAGTACTAGATTTATCAGGTGATCATTTCATAAGTTATATAGGTATCACTATTTTGTACACCTGAAACCTGACATAATATTGTATGTCAACTGTAATTGAAAATTTTTTTTATTAAAAAGAAAAATTATATCTGTTCATGTCTTACTTTCCACTAGAGGGTAAGCTTCTTGAGGACATGACCCATCTCATACATCTTTTTGTTCTCCTATAATGCCTGTCTAAATTGTTCCAAAGAGTAGGTAATCAAAAAACACACTCATGTAATGAAAACTACACATGGGCATCAAATAAAATTATATATACACTCTCTGAATATATATGGCAGTAAAATAATTGTTTTGAAATCTATCATTGCCTTGCTAGAATACACGTGCTTATTGACAAAGATAAATCTTCATAAAATTGAAGGAGGACCAGAGAATTTTTAAATGTGTACAAACTGTCCTAAAAATACTTTGCTTTAATTAGCAATAGCATCAACATTGCAGAACATAAAAAGCAGGACATTTCAATATGAAAAGTCCACAACTGTAAAAAAAGATGATGCTACTGCTTCAGTCTAGACTTGCTAACTGGAATTTTCTTCGTAGGCTATTCAAAAGATAACCGACACTTTGATAGGTTTATGGGGAAATATCCTGTGTGTATTCTTTTAGGTTACTCACAGAAAACACAGACAGGCCAAGGCCGATTTACTATGAAGCTGACGAAGCTCAACCTTCAGGACCCCTGGCTACCCTGGCAGGAAGCCCCAGGAACTGTGCTCAAGTATTTTCTTAGTCCACCCCCCTACCCCGCCCCCCACCTAACATACAGAATTTTCTAAGCGTCAGGTACATAAAACCTGGACCCAAGTCCTGCCACTCTTCCATTAGACTATTAAGAAAAACTAGGCTAGAATTTGCAAAAATGATCTAAAACTCATTTATTAATTTCCAGCATTTCTCAACAGTCCAAGCAGACAGAACCAAGTGGGGCCCAAAAGTGTTTCTCTTTGCGGCATATTGTCAGTATTACTTTTCCCAGGATACAAAATTAAGTCTTGGAAGCAATGACTAGATAAAAGCTATTTTCATTAAGTGTATGTAATCCTAGATAGCTGTTACCCATAAAAATTAAGTAATGCATCGTACTGAAACCAGATTGCTAGTGTTCAGAACTTACTTTCAATATTCAATAAATTGTCCTCGTGGTGCTAAGTATAACAGGTTAACATAAAAACCCATCGTTTCATTCTGAATTCTTTTGAATCATGTTGTATCACAAAACTAGGCAGGGCAACCAAATGTTAATAGTGATTTAATTAAGGAATTACAATATATCTTATCAGATATTCACTAGAGTTGCAACCATTTTTGACACTAAGATCAAAACAAACCCCAAAAACCTGTCATTTCGGCTTTTGGCTACTGAAGTTTTCAAAATCAAGTAGTGATTTCTTAAAAGCTACAGAGAGGATTTGGGGGGTGAGCACGGGGGTATATTCAGACAATCATACACTTTCCTATCCCTACCCCTACCTCTACCCTCTTCCTGTATTGTAACTCTAGTTCTTCCTCTCCGGTGTGTAGTACGCAGTTAACTTTTCGTTGGCGGGTAAAGTGGTACTAATATGTCTGGTAGAATTTTGTTTTTTAAAGTATGACAGCATGTGCTCTTAGATATGCGTACCCTACCGACGGCTTTACTTTAAGGGCGGTCCCTCCCTTCCATCCCAGAACGGGTCCGCAGGGCATTCCCCCTCAGGGTCCCTCAGTTTGGGGAGGGTCCCGGGCCACTTCTCCAAGGAGAGGGAGGCGCCGGCGGCCCGCGGCCTGCGGGCACCCGCTCCTTTCCCTGGCGGAGACACCCTCAGGAAGGTCTCCCTGGGGTAACCACACCACCGGGGTAAAGCTACCAAGGAAAGCAAAGAGGTGGCCACTTAAGCGCTACGACTAGGACGCACCCAGTTCCCAGCCAGGGACGCGCCTGAGGGTGGGGGGATGGGAGTGTCGCCATCGAATCCCAAGAAAGGCCGCGGGACCCACCTCCGGCTCCCTCCAGCTCCCGCCCTCGGCCCCACCTCCCCTGCCAGCACAAAGCCGTCCGAAGCCGGGGGCCAGGCCTGCAGGGAGGCCGCCTGGACGCGAGCGGAGCCGGGCCTGGCGACCCGCGCGGCTCAGGCCGCGCAAGCCACCGATCGCCGGCGAGTCTAGGTTCCCGTCCCGGACGGGAAGGACGTGCTTCCTTGCGCGTCCTTCAAGGCGCGGGAAGCTCGCTCGGCCGACCCGGGCCCCGAGCCTTTCCATCCAAGAGTTTCCAGAGCGAGCCTGGCGCGACCCACGCAGTGCGGCTAGCCACGCCCGAGGTGGCCGCCTCCAGCGTGCAGCGCCCGGGCCGGCCGGGCCGCGGAGTTGGCTGCGGGCTCGCAGGGGCGCGCAGAAACCGTCCGGACGTGGGTGACTCGAGCGGTTGCAGGCGCCTCTTTGCACCCCACCGAAGTGCAAACTCGGTGCCTCAAATCAGTTCCCCTCGTTTCCCCAAAGGTCCTGCACTCGCGCTCCTACGTAAGGTGGCCACACCACGCGGGGGCGGCCAGGCAGAGTGGAGCAGGAGGAAGTGGGGGCGGTGCGGGGCGACCCCGGAGACCCTGGGCGCCCCCTCGCCTCGCCTCCCGGCCGTGGCGCGCACCCGCACACTCTCTTGCCCAAGTGCGGGAAGATGGCCGTTTCTACTTCAGTATAAAGGCTCTTTGTTGCGCTCACACAAAAGCCGCCAAGACCCGCTTTTCCAGCAGCCCTTTGGACAAATCGAAGGAACTCAGCTGAATTTCCAAATGGCCCTAGAAGCCTGAAGCGGTGGGATCAACTAAAACAGAGGGGAATAACAGGTCTCCCGCCCTCACCTACCAAAACCTCTGTCAATATCCAAGTATTGGTCCTGGGAGGCTGGACCTGAGATACTTCGTAAGGGAGGAAGGAAAGAGGAAAACCTACTTTTACTATCAAGGCCCAAAGGGGGTATTAAACATTTTCACATTCTTGTAGGGTTTCTCCCCTTAACCGGGGTAGAAACATAATCTGTAATAGGTCTGGATACACCAAAAAGAAAGAAAAAAAAGACCAACAATAGCAACTTAAAAAAAAAAAAAAACATAACAAACCAGTTGCCATCAGCCCAAAGTGGTAGTAGCAGCAGCCGGCGCGTGTGATCCACTTACTTGTCCGACTCTTGTGACATGTTTGATCCAATGAACTCGCTCCCCTTTTCCTGGAGCCTCAGCCTCTGGTGAAACTGGACTTTCAAGTCTGTGCAGGTGAAGGTGTGTGAGAGCGCCCGAGATGGCAGAACAAGAGCTACAGGTAATTCTGCTTTTCCGTCCCCCCTCACCACTCTCGCTCGCTCGCCCGCTCGCGCCCTCACCTAGCCGGAAAGGTGGGATAAGGAGGGGCCCCTCACATGGGGCCCGAGCTCGGAGGCGGCCGGGCAGCGCGGAGTCCTCCTGGATCGTGGCAATGGGCAGCCACAGAGCAGAAAGTGGCGGACTTGGTCGGCCACAGGTAACTTTCTCGCAAGGAGCTGAATTCTTTCACTAAAGGGTACAACCCGAGGGACGAGCTGCGCAGTGATTGGCTGCGGGCCTCCCTCAGGTGAGCTGCCATTGGCAGAGGCGCGCTCAGGTAAGGCCCTTCTCCAAGTGCAGGTAACTCACTCCGAAGTTTACCTGAGCGGAGCGGCGGCACGCTTGCAGCTCTGGGGCAGCCCGTGGGAGCTGAGGGTCAGTGCTTCGAGGAGACTTCACGCTACGTTTTCCTTCTTCCCGTTAGCCGGCCCCGCGCTGGGATTGGGGGAGGGGGCTTCGAGGAGAGAAGGAACCAGGAAAAAAAGCAACACCTGCGGCCACTAGGGATTGTGGGTGGAACGGAAGGACTAAGGAGAGCTGAACTCAGGTATCCCAAGCCAACCGGAATCAAATGCGCAGCACAACCACAAGGCTTTTAATACCCACATTAAGAGGATTGTTTGACAGTGTCAGAAGAGTACGGGACTGAAGTTGACTTCGTGCTCAGAAGAGGGGGGGGGAAAAACAATGATTGCTGAGTCTGTTGCGTAATTGCATTTTTAACATTCTTATCCACAACAAACACTTTTCGTGCCCCGATGTGTAAAAGATATCAGGTAGATTCCAGATTTTCAAAAAGGTGAGCATCCTTTCATGAACTGGGCAGATGGGTAGTGGAGTGGTTTTGGTGAAGTGAGATCTGGTTGAATAGACACTAAGATGACCCAGGCGCACCTCTTCCATCTCAACTCTGCAGCCTGGGATTCCAGAGCTGCAAACAACCACTGAGTGTGTTCCATAAACCTGTTGTCATTTGATGTTTCCAGGCAGATATCAACATTTACATTGTAATTCAATAAAAGCAGTGACTACAAAGGTGCTTTATCCTTCCAGCTTAATGTAGTTGCTACGGAAACAATTCAGGATGAAACTGACTTTTTTGTGGTTCTGTTTCTCCTGGTTGGAAACGACGCAAATTAGCAAAGGTATAATTTATAACCACTGCTCCCAAAGCATATTTGTGGAAGTTCTAACAGGGATCTAGCCCACACATAAGAATTGTGGACCTGAAGGAAGGCATGAAAAGCTTGCCATATTTTATTTCATGTTAATACTACATTGCCAGAGGAGATACAACTTCTTTTTTTAATCTTTATTAGATCAGATATTTCCTGAGAATTACATTATGATGCAAGGTTTGCTTGTTCCATGTTTTCACTCTCAGCAAATGAATTTCAAAATTTTATTCTTTTTAAAGACAGTATAAGTATACACACTTTTTAAAGATAATACAATACTTTAAGATAATACAGTACCCACCTCTCCTCTTCCTTCTTAATCTCCTTTTTAAAGGCAACCACATTCCACTTTTAGCTGTCTCTAACATCTGTTATTTACCTCCCAATTTCTAAATATACTGCTATCTCTTGAGTTATCAGTTTAGATGTTGTGCTTTGATTACCTGTTGCCTCAGATAAGGATCAAGCTCTTTCATACCCTGCCCAGTTTCCCCCTCTATCATTCTTCCAACATAGCTCTTTCATAGTTTAGGTAGGGGTAGTAAGTAGTTGGTGACTGCAAATTCCAGTCAACAGAGCCGACTGATGTATCATGGTTGTTTTCTTACATATAAAATCTTTTATCTATTTACTTTTTTATGCACCCATTCTGATCTGTCAGATATCAAATTTATTTTTCAAATGATCAAAGAATTCCATTTTTCCCCAGTGGAAATAGCCCTCCAAAAGTCTTCTGTCCTATTCCAATGGAGATGAGAATTCTTAAGTTGTAATTTTTCATTCATAAGTTTATAAAAATTGCTCTTTTATCTTCTAGCATCCAGTGTTGTTGAGAATTCCAGTGCCACTTGATTCCATCTTTTTATGACCTAGAATTTTTCTTTCTGGATTATATACTTGTAGTATAATCCCTTTATCTCTTATATTCTGAAATTGTATGATTATGTGCTGTACACTCCATGGCAAAGATTTGCCTAAGTTCAAATCATACCTGTACTACATGACCTCGGGCAAGTCACTTATTCTTGCTGTGCTTCAGTTTCCTTGTCTATAATTATATAATACGAAAGTTCAGACAATTAAGTTCGCGAACTTTCCACCTTGTAACTGCATGGTGGAAAGTTCGCGAATTTAATTGTTTAACATTCATATATGTTATATATCATATCATCTGGGGATTTGTAGGTAATTGAGCTGTTTCTGTACTGGCCTCTACATTATAGCGTAGCTTCTGCTGCTCTGTTAAACCAGTTTCCACTCTTCCATTCACCCCATCTTCCAGAATTGTGCTGAAATTTATCTTTTGACCTCTCCTGCATCCTCGTTGTCTCCATGGATTTATCTTTTTATCTTTCTTTATTACCTTTTTCAGGAGACAATGAAGATAAACTAGTGTGGCTCAATCTGTCATCTTTAATATGAGGCCATTTCCAAAATTATCCAGGAGCCTTTATCAAACTGCCCCAACCTTGTTAGTGCAAACAAAATCAACATTTATGGTCAAACCTTTCCTCTTAGTGGTTGATGATGGCCAAGATTCCTTTCTTCCTTTCCATCATCTAACTCAACTTTGATTATATAGCTTAGTACTCCTGAGTGGCTATCTACTGCTTTATTGATTGGTTAGATTGTGAAGGAGAAGGAGACTTGGGGAGAAAGATGACAGACAATTCTGCAGCATCTGGGCAGAAACATCAAGTTTTTGTTTTTTTAGCTGAGCCATCCTGCCACCTGTTGGCAGCTCAGCTTGGGCCAGGAATCGAACCAGCGATCCTGTTGTTCAGAGCTCACACTCTTGAGCGAGCTCTTAACCACCTGAGCCACTCGGCCAGCCCTCAGAAACATCAAGTTTTAAAGGGCCACAGATTAGTCAAATGAGGCTGCCTGCTGCTTGTTCACCCACTACATGTTGTCACACACAGGCCAGTACAGTCGGTCTGTCAATGATGTGGTATGTCCTAGGGTATTTTGCACTATAGAAACACTAAGTTGTTCAATTGGTTACTACCCACAAGAAGAAACTTTGGGAAGAATGAAATGTACCTGGATGCCTGAATTTGAAATCAAAATACAGACTTATAACTTAAGCAAATGAACATTAAATGGCAGTTTCCTTGCAGTTTGGGGACACTTATTTTTTTGTGGTTACGTGGACATGCGTGTTTCCATGGACACTTACAGATGTCCTGAAGGCTCTTGAACTAGTAGTGTGAAATTCAGCCAGCAGCCAGCTGAAGTTTGCAACTTTCCTTCAGGATAGCACAGGGTTCTGCTGCTTGGGCTAGCCATTAGTAACTCTAACATCTGTGAGATACCATCTCCTACCTTCCTCCACCCAGCTTAGTGAGCCAGCAGCTAAGCTTTTACCACCACCACCCATGCCTCTCCCCCAAAATAGGAGATTAGAGAATCTTTCTTTGAATAAATTATAAGGTCTAGAAAAGAGATCTACAGATACTGACATCAGAGAGAGAGAAGAGGGGGGAAGGGGGGGAGGACCTACTCTCTACCAGATCTCCTTTCAATAAAGTTCATCAGTGGACAAGTCCCACCATCACTCAGAGAGCTTCTAATAAGCTTTTTATACCACACCCTTAAATATAAACATGAGGTCAAGAACCCCAGACTTTTGAGACAACCTCCAAAATGAAGTACAAAGATCAGAACAAAAGTGTAACTAAGAGTGATTTTTGAGGAAAACAGATAGTACAGAGATGGGATAAGGACTACATAATTAAGATATGAAAAGATACTGCATCCATGAAACAAGAACAGCATACTATTTAACAGCAATCAAACAACCACCAGAGAATCAAAAAGTGCTTGTGAATATTAAAATATAAAAGCTGAAATAGAGCTTTTGCATGGTATATTTGAAGATAGAATCAAAGAAACCTCCCATAAAGTAGAACAAAAGGACAGCAAATAGACAATAAAAGAGAAAATATGGCAAATTTGCAAGATCAGCCAAGGAAGTCTAATATGTGACTAGCAGGTGTTTCAGAAAGAAGCAATGAAAAATAGACAACAATTAAAAGAAAGGTTGGGCCAGCCGGGTGGCACAGCTGGTTAGAACACGAGATCTGAGCAACAGGGTCACTGGTTCAATTACCACATGGGCCAATGAGCTGTGCCTGAGCTGAGCTGCTACTGAGCTGGTGAGAGCACGTGCTCTTAACAACAAGGTGGCCGGTTAGACTCCTGCATGGGATGGTGGGCTGCATCCCCCGCAACTAGATTGAAACGGCGACTGGACTTGGAGCTGAACTTGCACCTTTCACAACTAAGATTGAAGAACAACCTGACTTGGAGCTTATGGGTCTTGGAAAAAACACAATGTTCCTTTTCCCCAATTCCCCAACACTGTTCCCTTCCACAACTTCCCAATATAATCTTTTTTAAAAAATGGTGGGGAGAGAATTATTAGAGAAAAGATAAAATACAATTTTATGAGCTGAAGTGTTACAAGTCTGGTTGACAGACCCATCTAGTGCTCAGCACAGTGAATTCTAAATGACATAAATTGCAGCAATTATCACTACATTTCTGGGCTGACCTTCCCTGAGAGTAAATATAAAATGAGCAAAGAGAAGCAGTTCAGACACGAAGGACCAAGAATCAGAATGTATTCACTTTCTCAACAACACTTTCAGCTTGACGATATTAGAAAGCAATGCCTTTAAATACCGAATTCTATGCCTAGACAGGTTATCAATGAAGTATAACAGTAGAATAAAATTCAACTCCAGAAATGCAGGGTCTCAAAAATTGCCTTCATGCACCCTTTCTCTGAAAGATATTGGATGATGTGCTCCATTAAGACATGGAAGAACAAAAAAGAATCAAGAAAGAGATGGTCTTAAAACTAAGAAAACAGGAGTCAACAGAAGAGAATGTTTGGGCTGGCCGAATGGCTCAGTTGGTTGAGAGTTGGCTTAAGAGCGCGAGCTCTGAGCAACAGAGCCAATGGTTCGATTCCCACATGGGCCAGTGATGCTGTGTCCCAGCTGAGCTGTCGCTGAGCTGCCAACAGGTGGCAGGATGGCTCAGCTGGTGTAACAACAAGATTTTCCTGTTCGATGGTGGGCTACACCCACCCACAACTAAGACTGAACTTGGCACCTTGAGCTGAGCTGCTTCCCGGATGGCTCAGTGGATAGGGTGTGTGCTCTTAACAACAAGGCTGCTCGTTCAACTCCCACATGGGATGGTGGCTATGCCCACCTGCAACTAAAATTGAACACAGCACCTTGAGCTTAGAGGCCACGAGCTGCTGACGGGAAGCCAGATGGCAACTGGCGCCCTCCACAATGAAGATTGAAGAACAACAACTTGGCTGGTCCCCTTCCCGAATTCTCCAACACTGTTCCCCTCCCCCAATTCCCCAATAAAATCTTAAAAAAAAAAAAACCATAAGAGAATGTTTGAGGGAAGTCAGAATGCCCACTTTATAGCAGGCCTGGAGAGCA